TAGCACTCATCGGGTTTGAAAAAAAAAAATAACCTATATATAAACGACAATCACAATCTTTAATAATATTCAAATTTAGTTTTATCTGCATATTTTTTTTTTCTCTTTTATTTCTGAAAACTTTGCTGAATGATTAATTCTTAAATGTCGAGCTTCTGTACTTGAACGTTTTCTCTGCGACGCCATTTTAATTAAATGAAACAAAACTAAGATTTCGTAATTGTATGAGTTCAACATACGACGTAGTAGAGTTTAATCCGTCAGAAATGTCAATCCATCCGATTCGACTGATCTGTCCGATCAGTAAATGTCTGACGATTGATGACGTGAGTTTGATGCAAACTTATCGGTGACGGATCGATGACCGCTGATTATTCGCTAAAATAGTAATGCCTAAGGTAGCAAGTACTGTTACTGTTAATTATTACATTAAACATGCGTCAAAAACAATTCTCTTAAACATGTTATAAAATATTAGTTTGAAACAATTTTCATGATTTTTAAATAAAGTAAATAAAACATGTTAAACCGAGAGAAAGAATATATGGAAATTACATTTAAGCATACAGTACTTATTGATTAAGCCATTATTTGTCAATTATGTAAGCAAGCAAAAATTAAAAATAATATCACATAAATGTTTTTTTCTAGTATTCAAGAAAGATTTCCTTTTGATTATGTGGTATATCAAATACCTACATGATGGTTTATGCATATTGATATTCACATGCTTTCGTTGGCTGGATTGATTTTTTTTTTATAATTAAAGCTTCTGTGGAAATTTGTTTTATGAAGTCACATAAAAAAGAAAACGTTGTTTATTTTTAATGAATACGTATAAAGAAGGCGAAAAGTACACGTGCATGTCTTTTAATGTAACGGTTATAGATCTGTTGAAATTTGTTAATCAGGTTGCTGGTTTTCTAATTTGAATGTTTTGATTTTTGGTCATGTCAGATTATTATAGTTTATTATTCGACATGGTTTTTGCTAATTTTAAGGCCATTCTGTGACCTTAATTTTCTTACTCTACTTCATTTTTCTTTATGGTGGATAGTTGCCTTATTGACAACCATATTACATCTTCTTATATTTATAACTTCTAGGTAAAGTGGACATTTATTCTTTATGACACTCTGTATAATTCGAAACATAAAAAAAAAAATGTGTAGCTGTACATTGCCGTAATTGGCAAAACTGCTGGGACGTTTCTGTTTTCAAAGCTATTCATCTTTGTATTTGACTTGACCTTTCAACTTTTTTTTTTCAAGCGTTACAAGCTATGGTTTTTGATAGAAGTATTGTTGATCAGTTTTTACAACTTCTGAGTCGATTCTACTGGATATGAACGTTTTGTAACCAGGCAATTATCAGAAAAGGAGTCATGCAGCACTTATTGTTATTTATGTTTGTTTTTTTTTTGTTTTTTTGATTATTTTTTATACAATGTTGAATTATACGAAACAATATTGTTTTTCTATTTCCGACAGGATAACGTAATCAATATTGGACAAAACTTTTTTTTGTTCATCAGGATTGGTTGTTTTTCATAAAATATGAATATCAGGAAAAAGATTCTTAAATGTTGTTTGCATTGCTTAAAAATGCAAATAATTATTCCTTTATATTAGAAATAATGCAACTTTATTTACAATCAGTCATAACAAATGCCTTTAGATAAGTATTTTTGTATAAGATGCGAAGAAAATAAGGATGAAGATACTAAATCTTTTTTTTTCTGTTGAATAAAAATTCAATCATTTCTTTATTTTGATAGAAATCTTTAACCACCATTTGATTTTAGTACTTTTTGTACATCAGGATTGGTTGTTTTTCTCAAAATTAAATGAATATCAGAGAAAATATACTAGACTTTTGTTCGCGTTGTTTAAAATTACCAATAGTTCTTCTCTTTATCAAAAAAAAAATGCAATAGTATTTGTAGATGGCTATTTCAAAGGCCTCAAGATAAGTTTTATTTGATAGAATTTTACTATTTAAGGATAAAAACATTTAATCTTTGGTTTGTGTAGAATAAGAATGTAAAACATTGTTTATTTTAGTAGAAATTATGAACAGCCATCTGATTATAGCACTTTTTGTACATCAAGATTGGTTGTTTTACTTAAAATATGCTGAGTTTCAGGGATAAGATGCTAAAATTTTGTTTGCTTAAAACTGCAAATATTTCTTCTTTAATATCAGAAATAATGCAACGTCATTTGCAACTAGTGATTATTATTACCTTTAGATAAGTAAGTTTTTATAAGATATGAATAATATAAGGATATAGATATTTAAACTTTTGTTTGGGTTGAAAAAGAGTGCAATTATTTTCATTATTTCAATGGTTTCATTGTTTTAAAATATCAATGTTTCTTCTTTTTATCAAAAATAATGCACTGTTGTAAGCAATCAGGTATTCTAATCAAGGATTTGTATAGTTAGACAAATCCTTGAAATATTGTTGCTTTCGTATACGCATAGATATCACAGCAATAGATAAAGTACTGATCACACATCAAAAGCAGATGATATTTACCGAAACTTTATCATCCTTTTATTTTATGCATGTCACGTTTGGTGTAAATTAGCCTTGATTGCCAATTGCCGTCGATCGATATCTAATTAATTGTAAATCGGGAGAGTGATAGGTCATTCTTGTTAGTTCTCGTCAATTTCCGGTACATCATTTAAATTGACAACCATGTCCGACACTGATCATCTCTTGATAAGAAAACAGCTAGCGATTTTTTAATCTTTGCTCTTAATACATCGCTCAAGTTTGTATTTCCTTTGCATATATTCAGATGAGATAAGACATTAAATACCCTTTGTGCTGTCTCATTATTCAGTTTCTCGTCAATGTCTTTAAAGCTTCGAAATATATGCGATTTATATCCGGTTAATGTAGTTGAAATTTTTTTTATTTATACCAATGCAATGGCTAAATTTTTCTGTTGAGGGCGACATTTTCATGATCTGAGTCGCAATAGGAAAACTCATAATCAAAAGACTGTAATTGCAAGATTTACGTTCTTTCTGGCATTATTATTCTCACTCAACTTTGATAGTGTATTTCTACATGCTGCAGAGACAAATTATGGATTCAAAGATTGTTGACTGTTTGCAAAGTCAATTGTAAGCGATACTTTTACGTCTCTCTCAAATTTTCCCTTTGGGGTAGGCTTACCTTTTTGAGGAACAGCTTTATCTTCTCCACATAGACGATAAACACAACGTAGAAGACTCTGAAGAGTATGGTTGTTCCTTACAGATGATTTTTTTATAAAGCAATGAGAGAAAGACAAAAGAAGGAGATAAATACGTTCAAATGACACCTTAAACCTTATATTTTTATATTTATAAAAGACTACTCGATATGACCATAACACTACTTTTGTTAGAAATAGTTTATTTGATGCAGTTTTATTTTGTATATCCCTTTCATTAAACAAGGTGTACTCACGTGCTTAAAATGCAAGTCAACGTGACCGATGTTTACATGGTGTCTCTAGTCCTGAATATGAATAAAATATTTGCAACTGAACGTTGAGAAATCAACGATTACTAGATCTTTGTAATCGAAAAAACACACAACTGGGTTCATGAAAAAATAATTAAAGTTAAGCATATAATATTCCAGACCATAAACATTACTAAACTAAATTAAATAAAGTATATCGATAACTGCACGAACAGACTCAAGGAGGGATCATATAACTGTATCTATGGTACAATAATACGCTGTATTATCTCTCCAACACAATTGTAAGAAGAAAGAGAAAATAAACAATGAATAACAAAGGACAAAACTCCTATATTTTCATTTCTCATGGCCATTAACGTTTAATCTATACATAGTGTTTACTTCAAAAATGAAATCGACCATCAGAATATACCACCAGATATTGAACTGCAAAACAAGCGCGAAAAATGGTAAGTGAAAAGGCAATTTTTTAGCCATTTCCCAAGTATTTAATGTATTGCAGTATGTCCACCACACATTTTGTCTTCACCAAATGTTGAAAAGATTGAAGAATAACTCAATTCTAATTACTAATACGCGACGTGAAGATTTTAATTAGATAAACTATATGGCAAAATAGAAAAGAAGATATATTAAAAGATTTCGTTGATAAATGTGTTACTGATATATTAATAAATACATTATATACATAGAAGTAAGATATAAGCATATCGAAAAAAAAATGATGTCAAGTTGACTTTCTGTTGTATACCCTCTATCACTGAAAATTTAAGCTGAGAATCGGTAAGAATATATTTTATTGCAATAAATGGCATAGACATTTGACATGACAGTACTATCACTAATTTGAGATTAAAAACAAATAACATTCAATACGATCAAGTGACGTGGAACTTTTATAAGTAAATATATTTAAGCAGTTCAACCTTTTAAAATCAACATTGTGGCTGATGTTTAAAAGGTTTATAATATAATGCTCTGTAACGACAGAAAGCTTTAACACTTCTAAAAATCTGTAATCTTTTTAAAAAAAAAATAATTTCTTCTTTCGGTGCAAAGTTATTTCTGACATAAAATATGATATCACTATAATAATGAATCTCGATAAAAATGTTTTCGTTAAATCGCCACAGAAAAATTCGACTCGGTTCGACCTCTTATCCACGTATACCACCAGTAAACGAAATTTCTCCTCTCGTCAGTCATACTTATTTTAAGAGTGCAATCGATGCAAGTGCTATGACAATTTAATTTGACATATCTGTTAAGACCTTTTTCCATGATTCTGTATTTCATTATTTCAACATAAGCACAACCTTCTCATTTGTCGACCAATTTTTTTTACAAATAGATTACAATCAAACCATCTTTAAAAACCAGACGCTTTTTATTGCTCTCGCCTCCTAGGATATTTTTATTTGAGATAGGTAACGCATATTAATTATCAGCCGATTAGATGAGTTCCGATAATTCAAGTATAATTATGATAAGTAATTAGTCTATTGGGAAAATGTGGGAGGATGTCGGTACATTTCATCTTCATCACAGGTCACCATGCGCTATGCCGTTCTTTTGATATTTCAAAGGAAATTACATTGGGCTTAGTGGGATATATTCTGAGTACTTTATCTATGACTTTTATATCTATAGGATAAGTTACTTTTTGATCAAATTTGAATAATATAGGGATTAAGATATTTTAACTCTTCTTTGTGTTGAACAAGAGTGAATTTTTTTATCATTTCATTAAGACTTAATTACACAAAAAACATCATTGGATATGATGATGTTTATTGGGTTGTCCCCAAAAAATATGATGATTTTTAGGGAAAGTATATTATATTTTGTTTGCATTATTTTCTCGTGTCCAACTTGCATATTTCTTTTATTCATTTAAAATAATACACAATAATCTTTTCCTTTCATTTTTGCAGTGCATTTTTGAAACAAAAGTGGCAATAAACACCGTTTTAGCACTCATCGGGTTTGAAAAAAAAAAATAACCTATATATAAACGACAATCACAATCTTTAATAATATTCAAATTTAGTTTTATCTGCATATTTTTTTTTTCTCTTTTATTTCTGAAAACTTTGCTGAATGATTAATTCTTAAATGTCGAGCTTCTGTACTTGAACGTTTTCTCTGTGACGCCATTTTAATTAAATGAAACAAAACTAAGATTTCGTAATTGTATGAGTTCAACATACGACGTAGTAGAGTTTAATCCGTCAGAAATGTCAATCCATCCGATTCGACTGATCTGTCCGATCAGTAAATGTCTGACGATTGATGACGTGAGTTTGATGCAAACTTATCGGTGACGGATCGATGACCGCTGATAATTCGCTAAAATAGTAATGCCTAAGGTAGCAAGTACTGTTACTGTTAATTATTACATTAAACATGCGTCAAAAACAATTCTCTTAAACATGTTATAAAATATTAGTTTGAAACAATTTTCATGATTTTTAGATAAAGTAAATAAAACATGTTAAACCGAGAGAAAGAATATATGGAAATTACATTTAAGCATACAATACTTATTGATTAAGCCATTATTTGTCAATTATGTAAGCAAGCAAAAACTAAAGATAATATCACATAAATGTTTTTTTCTAATATTCAAGAAAGATTTCCTTTTGATTATGTGGTATATCAAATACCTACATGATGGTTTATGCATATTGATATTCACATGCTTTCGTTGGCTGGATTGATTTTTTTTTATAAGTGAAGCTTCTGTGGAAATTTGTTTTATGAAGTCACATAAAAAAGAAAACGTTGTTTATTTTTAATGAATACGTATAAAGAAGGCGAAAAGTACACGTGCATGACTTTTAATGTAACGGTTATAGATCTGTTGAAATTTGTTGATCAGGTTGCTGGTTTTCTAATTTGAATGTTTTGATTTTTGGTCATGTCAGATTATTATAGTTTATTATTCGACATGGTTTTTGCTAATTTTAAGGCCATTCTGTGACCTTAATTTTCTTACTCTACTTCATTTTTCTTTATGGTGGATAGTTGCCTTATTGACAACCATATTACATCTTCTTATATTTATAACTTCTAGGTAAAGTGGACATTTATTCTTTATGACACTCTGTATAATTCGAAACATAAAAAAAAATGTGTAGCTGTACATTGCCGTAATTGGCAAAACTGCTGGGACGTTTCTGTTTTCAAAGCTATTCATCTTTGTATTTGACTTGACCTTTCAACTTTTTTTTTCAAGCGTTACAAGCTATGGTTTTTGATAGAAGTATTGTTGATCAGTTTTTACAACTTCTGAGTCGATTCTACTGGATATGAACGTTTTGTTACCAGGCAATTATCAGAAAAGGAGTCATGCAGCACTTATTGTTATTTATGTTTGTTTTTTTTTTTTTTTTTATTATTTTTTATACAATGTTGAATTATACGAAACAATATTGTTTTTCTATTTCCGACAGGATAACGTAATCAATATTGGACAAAACTTTTAGACACTTCTTGTTTTCACCTCTACTGAACTTCGCATTTGATTTGGCATTTGTATAGTTTTGATTCAAACGCCGCCAAATAATTCCATGAGGGCGTCTGTCGTACAAAATCATAGACTTGGTATATTTGGTTAGTTTCTACAACTGTGTCTATTGTGTTGGATGTTTTGTCCCTGGGGGTGTTACAAGCGCAGGATTCATCACTTTTGTTATAAATGGAAGATTATTGAAACGTTTAGTTTGTGTAAATAAACTTTTAAAAACTTTATAAAATGTGTATTACTCGAAACATTAAGTGTGTTCTACCCAATGCAAAGATAATTTGCCGTATTTGGCAAGCAATTTCTGGATTTTTTGCTTATATTGTTTTCAACTTCATATTTGATTTGGCCTAACAACAGTGTTGACGTTAGCGCCACAATAATTCTTATGAATCAAAACACGCGTCATGCGTTTACAATTACAAGTGTTTTTCATACTCAAATCATACATGATGTAATGTCTGGTACTTGACCAGACGATACCAAACTTTGTGTATGACACAGAGGTTGATCATCTTCAGTGAACAAAAAAAGAACGAAAATGACTTCAAGAATGTTCCATACATTTAATTGTTATTGAGAAATGAGAATATTTAATTTAATTTTACAGTTATCCATTTTGTAATGCCTTCATGGTATATCAGAAATATGATTTTTGTTTTTCATTCGTTGATGTGTTTGCGCTTTTGAGTTTGCCATTCGATAAAGGACTTTCCGGTTTGAATTTTTCTTGGAGTTCGGTATTTTTCCTATTTTTGTTTTTGTCATGATATGCTGAATGATTGTTAATTTTCAGATATGTCTTTTTTTTTTATTAAAGTTAGAGTCAGAGTTCCAACAATATCAATGAGACCAACACAATCGATATACTATGAGGGAGATTCGATTCGTCTTAACTGTTCAGGTTATGGTAGCCCACCACCTTACTTCTCATGGAGTAAAGACAATAGCAGCGTTGAAACCGTATTTGATACCGCAACATTTTTCATTAAAAAAGCAAACATCTCTGATAGCGGTTTCTATACGTGTAATACCAGTAATTCCATATATGGTACGATTTACTCAGAATCTGCATCAACATTCGTCAATATTGGTAAGATTAAAAGAAATAATTACCTTTACTTTGGGTGAACAAAGGAGATTAATTTGCCAAAACAAATGTATCAACTGAAAGAGTATGAAAATTATTGATGCGTCGGTGCCTTCAATTTATATTGTAAAGGAAGACAGGAATAGAGCAGTCAAAACCGTTATTCTAAAAAAAATGAGAACTCCGTTGACGATAAAGATTTAAGAATGAATAGATGAAAACTATTTCACAAAACACTACCTAAATACTTATGATTGCACAAAAGGAATGTATTTATATTGATTTATATTCAGTAAAATGTAGTTCAACAAGCGCAATAATTTTACTTATATAGGTTGATTTGTTGTACCTTGATTCTGGCTAACCTCAAGTAGTAAAAGCAGGTATTTTCTGGACTTTATGAATGTGAATATACCCTGCTTTACATTCAGAGTCGGATTATAACATGCAGCATCTACATAAACACTCAACATTCTCAAAATCTGATTAAAACAGTTGTTATTTAAGACCAATTTCTTCTTCTCACACCACTAACTTAGAAGTAATCGGAGCAAAAAAAAACGGTAACAATTGAATTGATTGCATTTCTAAAATAACATAACAGTTTAAGATATTTTTCGTGTGTGTTCTTCCAGTATATACATTTTGTAGCATTACATATGTCACAGAAATCATGAAAGGAACGAAAGCCCTGGAATATTGTATCAACTAGAAAATTATATATATATCTCTCATGAAGACTCTTCTTGAATGTTGCTACACAAAAATTAAAAGTTCACAGTAAAAAAATATTTCATCAACTTTGTTGTAAAGTTCATATGGAAGTCAAAATATGCGACAGAATTAATGGTATTTGTAAAAATATTCTTAAATACAAATTCATTAGCATATATGCAGTCAACATACTTTTGATTATTCAGCGAAAAGGTTTTATCGATATAGCTAGCTGTAGCTGAAAGTGCAGTTAATGGAAAACGCCAACTTCTGTTGGTTTTCCTAGAAAAACGCCTGTATGAAGACTGCTACATACTCGATTGAATAATCAAACTAATCAAAAAACAGAGGAGGCATAGATACTATAGAAAATAGAAATTGTGATGGTCTGTTGAAAAACATATCGTTTTAACGTACCAACTACTAAGTATATTGAACTAATTCTTGCAGTTTATAATCTGTAATTCAACGTATATGTCACAGATGACAATGGACATGTTCCGCCTGTCGAATTCACATTTTTAACACATGCACTGGTAAACGAATCAATCTTTTTTATCTTAAGAACATCTGAATATTCTGAACCTAAAAACGATAAATCTGATTAAATACCTGTTTTCCGTTTTTTGTTGCTGCAAATTCAATTCAGAATATTAAGTAGCAGTCAATCCAGTACTGTCTATTAGTTATTCTGACGATGCAGTGTGTTGATGTTTTGTACAGGTAATTCAATAACAATAACCGAACAGTCTAAACATAGACTAAACATATCTTAATTGACTGCAAGTGAATTGTCCGAACATTACTGACCCTTCCTCTACAGATAAGTCTGACAATATACAGAAAGACTGAAATTTATTCATAATATTTTGTTAATTCTTTTAAGATCTGTTCAGATCAAAATGACCGTTTCAGTTTAAAATGTGTTAACTAGTAATGATTTATGTAAAACGCTTTGGCACATTTACAACAGATGCATAAACAGCCCCTCTCACCGTTTCTAAGATTGTGGTAATTGTAATGCTAAAACAAGCCGGCACATCTAAACCAGCTACAGGATGACCACTGGCTTGAAAACAAACCAAATAACTATTATACATGTTTTTGAAAAGTATGTCAAATGTGCTCGGTACAATACATGTAGGTAGCTAGCAGTAATGATTAATATAGTATTTGCTTATATTTTGTGCATGTAATTGACAAATAGATGTAATTCATACCTTTTATGCTTTTTACTTTGACAAAGTTGCTGAATCAACCAGCCATTCCAATTCCAATAACTCTAAATTTGGGAGAAATCAAGGTATTTAGTTGGTTTTTTTTTTAGATAAAAACTTTAAAATAGTGTCTGTCTTCCTAAGAGCAAAATGAAGATTATTGTTGACTTGAAAAAATATCAATTTTTATTATTGGTCTTTCTCAAATACCATGTTTGTATTTCAGGTGTCATCCATGTTGGATTCTTAAATATCTCTTATCTTTCAAAATTCAGATTCACATTTGCTGTATATCAGTAATGTCTTAGCATGATAAAGAAGTTCTTAAAATCTTGATGAAAAACTATCGATAAAAGCTGAAGATCTAAAAACAAATTTTTAAAATTTTAATGTTTGCAAAATGTTTTTTTTTCAGTTTTTTTTTTAAAGATTGTTTTATTTTAGTCTCTTCTACTTCTTTTTCTTTCTAAAGATTTACAATATGGCTTGTTTGTACTTCCAGTTGTTGCCGTTGTTTTCACCATTAGTGGAGTTTTCCTGATCATTATAAGCTTCACTGTTTATTGGAAGAGAAAGTAAGAACGGTTTTAAATTATGAAAAATTCTATTATAATTAATAAATTCGACATGCATTCATATGATGTAATGTACATTAGTTGCATCCTGTACAGGTTGATATATATGTACTAGTTTGTGTGCAATTGCCATGTCAAAAAAAATAAAGGTAATAGTTGGATAAGTCATTAATTAATTGAATAATTTATTTTTTTATGTACCAGCATCGGCAACAGTGACGGACATTCAAACTGACTATATATGCGCGGTTTTAACATTTTTTTATCATATTACTTCGAGTAAAGATACAGAATTTGCTGGGTTCATTAACCTTAGAATTATCATTCCAAGATGGAAACAAAATCAGTTTACATTTCCATAAACTTTCCAAGAAATACAATATAAAATGGGTTTGTTTTCGAAAATAACGATATGATTTGTTGCAGATCTCAAATTATTCTGCTATATGTCTATATCGATACCAACTTAATTTTACAAGTCTTGCAATGTTTTAAAGCATATGCTATTTGTAACACATCGTATTTTTTCCGCGATCATTGATTAACCTTCTAAAATCCATTCATCTGCATTGCATCTACTTCTTTGTTGACATGAATTATCATTGATATGGTCATAATTATCAATTAATTGTTTACAAAACTGTGAAGTAGTAAAAAATATTTAGGATGTTCTATCCCAGGAATAAATAACCTTAACATTGTAGACGGAATGCGAGCATGGAGTACAAACAAAAATGTGCGGTGTAGAGATCTTTACAATTTTCCCATGCTTGAGGAGTATATTCTCATATATTTCGGATACGACAGCCCACCAGCACAAATACGCATTGCCATAATTAGTGCAACAATCTCACTATGAAATACACGAACAATACAACAATTGGCTATTCCCTTAAGGTCATGTAGATTCTCACGTATTCAAGTATATCATTATACATTTGCTTAATATTTTTGGTATTTTGGCGTTCCTTATAAAAGGTATGTACTGAAATGCTCTTCGGACTCATTTGAAATACTTCAAAACATAGCAACAACGATTAAACGTACCTAATTGACACAAAATCTTGCTTGATTGTGCAATGTATATAACTATGTAAAATAATCTGCTTGCATATCATTAGAAATTAAGAACACTAATACTTTGCCTACATTTTTCAAGTATGCAGAAACACAATCATGATGACATTACACTGGGCAAAGCTGAACGAAACTATAAGCCACCATTCATTTCTTTTCAAAGGGAACAAACATACATGAATTTGATTTCATGATAACATAAAAAAAAAAACTTGAAATAACCTCAATCAGAAAACACTTTTTTCCAGCGTGAATCTTGTACTTTTATGCCAATAATTCGCAAAGTTTTTTAAGGATTCAAAGGATAAACTGATTGTCATCAAAACATCAACGTTCAAAATTTCATAAATAAAATCTCGAACCAAATTATTTTGCAACTTCTGGCAACTGTATTGTAACCTTTCGTGTTAATGATTTTTATATTATTAATTGTTTTTGGCTTTTAACTAGCTTTCAGTAACTGCGAGTACTCTCAAATCGTACTTTCGTGTTATTTGACCTGTTGATACAATTTGTAATGTATTATTGTTATTTAATGTTTACTTATTTAGCGTTATATCTCGTCTCACTTCTTTTAATATTTACCACCTTTGATAAGTGTTAAGTATGACGATAAATTTTCATTTCTGTTCTCGTACTATGAACAACAAAATTATTTATTTTGTAAAAAATATTTCCGTACTCCATGTATACCTTACAAAAAAATCATTTTTATTTACCTGTGTACGCTATTTTATTTGGCGGCATTTTGTCCAAGGTTAATGTTGTCTTTCTTATATTGTTTTACATCTAACCCCCATGTTTTATTAATTTTGTATTTACATTGTGTCATAGATCAAATGTATTCGTTCAGTGCATGTTCACTTGTTTCTTTTAATATGTCTTTTGATTGAGTTAGGCCATTGCAATTGATACTTTATAGTGTGTCTTTCTATGTTGTGATATTACACTATTGTTTCAGGTTAGGGTGAAGGTTGGCGCCTATTAAAACGTTCAAACCCGATGCATTTGTTTGCAGGAACCTCATGTTCAGTGGTTGTCGTTTGTTAATGTGGTTCATAAGTGTTTCTCGTTTCTCGTTTTTTATATAGATTAGACCGTTGGTTTTCCTGTTTGAATGGTTTTGCACTAGTCATTTTTGGGGCCCTTTATAGCTTGCTGTTCGGTGTGAGCCAAGGTTCCGTGTTGAAGGCCGTACTTTGACCTATAATGGTTTACTTTTACAAATTGTGACTTGGATGGAGAGTTGTCTCATTGGCACTCATACCACATCTTCTTATATCTATCAGAGACTACATTCAATTAAAACACATCCCAGGCAGGGATTTAATGTTTTAACGCCATGAACAGTCAAAGAAGACATGGCTTGTGCAATGTTAAAATAAAAGTAACGACAGGCAGTAGGATAGATAGGATTTAACCTTATAATAAATATGTATGATGTTATGTATAGATAAAACAATTTCCAAATAGAAAATAAACGTGGATGTATATATATACATCCCAACAAAACCATTCGAAAAGAATACAAATTTAGTTATTTTTTAATTTGTTGATGACAAAATCGATGTTAGTGCCAATGAAAACAATTTGTCTATTTCAGCAAGTTTAGTGATTGTGTGAACAGTGAATAACTCAGCTCGTTTTGATACTCGGAATGTCTAAGGTTTTGATATTTAACTAAATGAAATAATTTCGGCGATTTTGTAAAATGTCTTGAAATTTTTCAAGCATTTTATAAAATGTCTTATCCAAAGTGTAAATTAATGACACGACTAAATTTACAGGCACTTTTGAATATGATAATTTTGTGTTTCATTCATTCTACAAAAACCTGACGTATATCTGTTACATATATATGAAGGTCGCCACCATAAAGAAACATAATTATTTAACTTGATTGAATTTCTATTGTTTAAGAACTGCATCAACTCATCTCGGAGCAACACTTGTAGAAAGCAATCTCAATACCAAAACAAATAATGAAGCTAATCACAACCAGGAAGATACGTATGCAGAAGCACAGGAAGGAATTTATGATAAATCCGGAGACAGTCGTCATAAAAAAGTCGAAAATTCTGAGCATTTTGATACAACAAAAAATCTGAAGTGAGTGATAACAGACACATACTTTAATTTTTCAGTTTTATCGTTTAATTCGTCAATATACAGTGACAACAAGTGTGTTTCAGCAGACGGTGTTTTTTTTTTTTCTAAAATCCAAAGTTATATTCATGCTGAGAGCATCAGGTTAATAGGAAGTATTTAAAGATGACTGGCGCCACCTAGTTTTTACATCCAAGATAATAGGTAGAGGTAAATTTATTTTGCTGACCTGTTAAATAGAAAACAAAATTGAAGTAGTGAGAAATGAGAGTTGGCTTTTGGTGTAGAAATAGCGAGAAATCTGGAGGAAACTCTCTATGACGAGAAACATTTTCTGTGCAAAATTCAGCAAGGGGTGTTCTTTTTTCAATTTTTTGGAAAATTTCGGAACCATATAGTACCCTTAAAAAATGCCATTTTTCTATCAAAAAAGCTGCAGCACCATATGTGTTTAGCAGTTTTATTCACACGCAAAGGGGTTGATAATCAGAATTTGATATTTTTATCAACGGATCTTTTATTGTAAAAACGTACGACCAAAAAAAGGCTTGTATTGTCGCCTATGTAAACAATTACTTCATTTTAACCTAATTTAAAAGGGAAATAACAATTTCTGGCGCATCACTGTATTTTTCAAGATATTTTAGAAATGGGATAGGTAAATTGATAAGTTACAGGGTAGTGATCAGCAACTATCTTGTGATACAGTTTACATGAACCTAAAGTCTATATACAATTTTTACTGTTTTTTATTCTTCTGTTTAAAGGGTAGGATTAATTTACCCACTGTAAGAACGAGAAATCCGTCAAGGACTCTGTCTTTAATCATTTCACCTCATCTTTGAAAACATTGCATGTATTTTTGCATATCTAAAATAGGGGGTCATATTTTTGCTGCCGTTTAGCGAAATTTTTGTATTTTTAATTGCTAAAATGTTGCCAAAATGCCCCTTAAATATTAAAATTAGGTGAAAAATCAAAGGCTATACATTTTTCTTCCAAGTACCGCCGAATTGAATATTCTGTACACGGTTCATATTAAACACATAACAGCAATGATAAAATCCTAATTTCATCATTTTTGTAGTCTATTTCATAATATTTTGTTTCGCTCATGCAACTGTTTTCATATATTCGTGACAAAACGTATAAATTAGACACAGTAATTCAATCATCAGCGCCGAGTCTTTGATATGTCTAAGTCGAACCTAAATAACCGAACACCTCGTTTTAAACACAGCCAAACAGTAAAAATTTGCTAGTCAATATCCCCAAGTCTTGAAAAAGTAACGTTTTCTGCAAATGGGGGTACCTGTAAAGAAAGTCATTTAAAATGGTAAACAATTATATCTTTAATCCCAAAATTTGAACGTAAGCAGTAGGGGTGTATAGTAATCGACTAATGTAAAGGTTGTCCGATTTTATTTCAGTCTATGTCAGTATAGGTTAAAAGAAAGTAATTAAAGATGACTGGCGCCACCTAGTTTTTGCATCCAAGATAATAGGTAGATTTTTTTTCCCTGCTGCCCTGTTAATTAGAAAACAAAATTGAAATAGAGAGAAATGAGTGTTGGCTTTTGGTGTAGAAATAGCGAGAGATTTGGAGGAAACTCTCTGTGAAGAGCAACATTTTCTGTGCAAAATTCAGCAAGGGGTGTTCTTCATTCATACTATTTCGAAAATTCTGGAACCATGGAATTTCTTTTAAAAAAAAATTATTTTTCTATCAAAAAAACTGCGTCACCATATGTGTTTAGCAGTTTCAAGGGATAAACTGATTGTCATCAAAACATCAACGTTCAAAATTTTATAAAGTAATTCTCGAGGCAAATCATTTTGCAACTTCCGGCAAAAGGTATTGTTTTTATCTTAATTTGTAATATTGCAGAATTCAACATTAACTTCCAATCTTTTTCACTGCTTCACACAAATATTCATGTTTAAGAAACTGAAATTCAGATTGTTTACATGTTCTCAATGGCATGTTTGTGTAAAAAACACAACAAGCAGGTAATACCTTGATTTAAGACGAAACTCATACAAGTAGCTTTTCAAAAAGGCATATTTTATTTTCAAAATGAAATGAAAAAAATGTAGTCTTATAAGGCCAGAATCTATTTTTATATTGTGTGATGATATTACAGATTTTTTGTTAAATAACTAGTTTATACATTATAAGTACAACGGGAGGTTGAGGCAAAAGTATTTATTATTATTCCTCCGAATTCGTTTTTCTCAATAATGAGGATTTCGTTAGTTATACATTTGTTATAGGTAGCAAATTATTATCTTTTTCAGCAAGTTTAGTGATTGTGTGAATGATGAACAACTCAGCTCATTTTGATACTCGGAATGTCTAAGCTTTTGATATTTAATTAAATGAAATAATTTCGGCGATTTTGTAAAATATCTTGAAATTTTTCAAGCATTTTATAAAATGTCTGATCCAAAGTGTAAATTAATGACATGACAAAATTGACAGGCACTTTTGAATATGATATTTTTTTTTTCATTCATTCTACAAAAACCTGACGTATATCTGTTACATATATATGAAGGTCGCCACCATAAAGAAACATAATTATTTAACTTGGTTGAATTTCTACTGTTTAAGAACTGCATCAACTCATCTCGGAGCAACACTTGGCGAAAGCAGTCACAATACCAAAACAAATAATGAAGCTAATCACAACCAGGAAGATACGTATGCAGAAGCACAGGAAGGAATTTATGATAAATCCGGAGACAGTCGTCATAAAAAAGTCGAAAATTCTGAGCATTTTGATACAACAAAAAATCTGAAGTGAGTGATAACAGATCAGACACATACTTTAATTTTTCAGTTTTATCGTTTAATTCGTCAATATACAGTGACAACAAGTGTGTTTCAGCAGACGGTGTTTTTTTTTTTTTAAATCCAAAATTCTATTCATGCTGAGAGCATCAGGTTAAAAAATGTATTTAAAGATGACTGGCGCCACCTAGATTTTACATCCAAGATAATAGGTAGAGGTAAATTTATTTTCCTGCCCTGTTAATTAGAAAAAAAAATTGAGGTAGTGAGAAATGAGAGTTGGCTTTTGATATAGAAATAGCGAGAAATCTGGAGGAAACTCTCTGTGACGAGAAACATTTTCTGTGCAAAACTCAGCAAAGGGTGTTCTTTATTCATACTTTTTGGAAAATTTCGGAACCATATACATTGTAGTACCCTTAACAAATGCCATTTTTCTATCAAAAAAGCTGCAGCACCATATGTGTTTAGCAGTTTTATTCACACCTTAAGGTGTTGATAATCAGAATTTGACATGTTTATCAACGGATCTTTTATAGTAAAAACGTACGACCAAAAAAAGGCTTTTATTGTCGCCTATGTAAACAATTACTTCATTTTAACCTAAAGGGAAATATCAATTTCTGGCGCATCACTGTATTTTTCAAGATATTTTAGAAATGGGATAGGTAAATTGATAAGTTACAGGGTAGTGATCAGCAACTATCTTCTGATACAGTTTACATGAACCTAAAGTCTATATAAAATTTTTACTGTTTTTTTATTCTTCTGTTTAAAGGGTAGGATTAATTTACCCACTGTAAGAACGAGAAATCCGTCAAGGACTCTGTCTTTAATCATTTCACCTCATCTTTGATAACATTGCATGTATTTTTTGCATATCTAAAATAGGGGGCCATATTTTTGCTGCCGTTTAGCGAAATTTTTGTATTTTTAATTGCTAAAATGTTGCCAAAATGCCCCTTAAATATTAAAATTAGGTGAAAAATCAAAGGCTATACATTTTTCTTCTAAGTACCGCCGAATTGAATATTCTGTACACGGTTCATATTAAACACATGACAGCAATGATAAAATCCTAATTTCATCATTTTTGTAGTCTATTTCATAATATTTTGTTTCGCTCATGCAACTGTTTTCATATATTCGTGACAAAACGTATAAATTAGACACAGTATATAAATCATCAGCTTCGAGTCTTTGATAGGTCTAAGTCGAACCTAAATAATCGAACACCTCGTTTTAAACACAGCCAAACAGTAAACATTTGCTAGTCAATGTCCCCAAATCTTGAAAAAGTAACATTTTCTGCAAATGGGGGTACCTGTAAAGAAAGTCATTTTAAATGGTAAACAATTATATCTTTAATCCCAAAATTTGAACGTAAGCAGTAGGGGTGTATAGTAATCGACTAATGTAAAGGTTGTCCGATTTTATTTCAGTCTATGTCAGTATAGGTTAAAAGAAAGTAATTAAAGATGACTGGCGCCACCTAGTTTTTGCATCCAAGATAATAGGTAGAATTTTTTTCCTGCTGCCCTGTTAATTAGAGAACAAAATTGAAATAGAGAGAAATGAGTGTTGGCTTTTGGTGTAGAAATAGCGAGAGATTTGGAGGAAACTCTCTGTGACGAGCAACATTTTCTGTGCAAAATTCAGCAAGGGGTGTTCTTCATTCATACTATTTCGAAAATTCCTGAATCATAGAGTACCCTTAAAAAATATCTTTTCTATCAAAAATGCATCGGCACCATATGTGTTTAGCAGTTTCAAAGGATAAACTGATTGTCATCAAAACATCAACGTTCAAAATTTTATAAATTAATTCTCAAAGCAAATTATTTTGCAACTTCCAGCACCTGTATTGTTTTTAATCTTAATCTATAACATTGCAGAATTCTGCATTAACTTCCAATCATTTTCACTGCTTCGCACAAATATTCATGTTTAAGAAACTGAAATTCAAATTGTTTACATGTTCTCAATGTCATGTTTGTGTAAAAAACACAACAAGCAGGTAATACCTGTGATTTAAGACGAAACTCATACAAGTAGCTTTTCAAAAAGGCATTTTTTTTTTTAAATGAAATGAAAAAATGTAATCTTATCAGGCCAGAATCTATTTTTATATTGTGTGATGATATTACAGATTTCTTTAAATAACTAGTTTTATAAGTACAAATGGAGTCTAAGGCAAAGGTATATATAAATATTCCTCCGATTTCATTTTTCTCAATAATGAGGATTTCGTTAATTATACATGTGTAATAGGTAGCAAACTCTTGTCTATTTCAGCAAGTTAAGAGATTGTGTAAATGATGAATAACTCAGCTCATTTTGATACACGGAATGTCTAAGGTTTTGATATTTAACTAAGTGAAATAATTTCGTCGATTTTGTAAAATATCTTGCAATTTTTCAAGCATTATATAAAATGTTTGAATCAAAGTGTAAATTAAAGACATGACTAAATTGACAGGCACTTTTGAATATGACGAATTTTTCGTTCATTTTACAAAAACCAGACTTATATCTGTTACATATATATGAAGGTCACCACAATAAAGAAGCATAATTACAATCCACCTTGAGTTACAAAATGTACTGATTTAAGATACCTGCATATACGTGTCATTATAAAGTACAAATTTCACTAGTTCTGATTGCTGCGGTGGACTTTTTTTTATTGTAAAAGCAATCCTGAGATATCAAAACTTCTGAATTTTGGTGATGGTTCAGTATTTTGAATAAAAAGAGGAAATGTCGGCATTTTAGATTAAAACAGACACAATCATGTTTATTCGTGCTATTCATGTTATTGTAGCATAAATTCCATTTTAGTGATAACAAATTACCAGAGGACCATCGAATTCGTTTTTGCGGTACGAATCCTTCAAAAACGGAATAATTTCCAATCTATAATCAACAGACGAATTTAATGACTCCCTATATATTTTATATCAATAACAGGTTAACTTCAAAAGCAAGAACACATAATTATTCATTTACCAAGGTAACAGGTGCTCACGCTTGCCAAAAGCGAACGTTAAAAATATTACAGAATAGGTATTTTGTTTCTTTTCCTTTTTCGTTAGAATAACTTTTTGAATACATATAAAGTAGTTTATTTGACGATGAACATAAATAATATTAGACAAATGTTGACCCCGGCCATCTTCAAAATCACGCAAAGTGGCAATATGACGTAGTGTTAAAATTCTGATGGTTTGTGTGCCTCACCCATAGCATTCAATGGTAGGCCGTATGGCAGAGAAAAAGGTAAATCTATTTTCGAGATAAGAATATTTGTACAATCGTTCGCCTTAGTTCAGTATAGAAAACAAACGTTTAAGATAAATATTTGTGAGAACAAAAACTGAAATGCATCTAGAAATCGACGAGTAATTTTAGTTTTGTAAGATCAAATTCCAAATGTTTTATTACTGAAGGAAGAAAGCTACGATTTCAAAGGGATTTTTTTTTTCAAACAGCAAAGAAAATAGCAATGCAGAAAACAAATCATCAGATAAAGGTCATCATATTGTATGCAACATCAACCCAACGTTTGAAAGTGATAGTATATCGAGTGGAGAAGAACAAAATAAAGTAGCAATGGTTTCCTCAACCAGTCGATCGTTTGATTCTACTGAAGAACACAAACAAAAAGAAACTACAAAAGCGGAAACAAAAGACTGGATTAACTTAAGTCATAAAGAAGATGATTATGAGTATTCTAATACATCCAGAAGTCTCAAGTAAGTATTTGCTATTAGTCCTGGAAATATCAGAAAAACCCTGCACAATGTGGTAAAAGCATGAAACTTGGTGTATAAGCTCCTAATACCATTCTAAGCAAAATAAGATATGGAGCCAACCTAAAAAAAATCAACTTCCGGTTTTTCCAAGATGGCGGACAAAATTACAAAAATTCTAATCTAAATATTAAAGAAACCGTACACATGGTGGTAAAACAATGAAACTTTATATAATTATATTATCTTTTTAGACCCTTTTTAACAAATAAAGATATGAAACCAATATGAAAAACTATCAACTTCCGGTTTTTTCCAAGATGGCGGCCGAAATAACAAAAAAATTAAAACAAGTCAATAGGACGTTGCACTATTTACAAAACAAATATATCAGATGAGTACAATTGAAAGTAATATATATACAGTAGCTGGTATATGCAATAACACGTTCATTCATCTTGTTTGTGTCGGTGAACCCTATACTCTGTAGTCCATCAGGCACAATCTCCAACACACTTGCCTAAAGCTGTATTCGGAAGGGCGGATTTGAAACCCTTGCATTGTCCTCGACAACCTTTCTTGCATCCACAGTGAACAAGTACCTGTAGTGAAGAGGTTGCCTCTGTCAATATTGTCCAGAACGGGTTCTTACATGCAGTTGTCTTGCTTCTTCCAACCATACAAGTCTGGTGATGGATGAACAGGCTGTAAAAGCAAACACTGTATCTAAATCAATCCAGCTTGGTACACAGAACGTTCGGCATGTTGGTAAAGTGCCTCCCGTGTTGGTGGTACAGACTCGATTGATCTACCTTTATGTGCAAATAGTACTAGTACTTTTCTAGCTTCATTTACACTATTGGATTCACTTGTCCGATGGTACAAAAGAACAACATATCGCTCCAGCAATGGTAGAATTCAATCACGGCATATTGTACTTGGTTAGTCTGTCATCTGTCTAAAAGCAGCTGATACCTCGGGGAAAGTATTCCATGTATCCCATGCTGTTTTCTTTCCTCGTCCTGCAAATGAAGATACAGTGTCACAACCTGTAAAGGCGTGGAATATTGGTAAAAGCATGGATTCAAGAGGACCAAAAGATTGTGCAATATCATGAATAGGAATGTAACGGAAATGTTTCCCGGTTCCAAATGCTATCCATATCTCATCAGCTTCTGTGTCCTTAAATACAGATATAGCGATCACAATTACGTCTGTATCCACAGTTTTAATGCTGATCTTTTTAAAACCATCCCTGACTGCATCTGCAACGTGAATCATAACTATCGTATCTGCTTCTTCGTGTTTGCACGGTTGCAGTTTTGACTTGTCTATGTGTGCCTGATTTGAAATCTCATCAACCCGTAGAAAGCCATGCCAGTTCTTAGGGATATTTGTTTGAGCTTTAACTTGCCTTCGAATTCCCTTCCCTCTAATTTCTCTGGTTGCACTTTTGAGGCTGTTTTCTACATATGTGTCCCATACTACATCAACGCGTCCAACATCGCTATTTCGGTTATTATGTAGGGAACAAACACTTTTACCGCATAAAAGAAATAGCATTGGTCCAACCTGACGCTTCCAGCCTATCGCCAATAGTTTTTTAAAATGGCCATCTCCATATGAAGACCTCCAAACAACATGAAGAGTTTATCTTCGCCGTAACCAGAAGAATCCGCCAGCATGAGTCAAAATGGGACCATACGTCAGTGTGATAAGTCAGATCTATCAAGAAAATGTCTCGAGCCGTTAATATCTAAAACAATAGTTAACCCTCAAGTGAATGCAACAATAATTGACGGTGCAGCAGTAGTCAATATGCTCAAGCCTGGTGCAGCATATCATTTCATAATTATGCGGTAAAAGTGTTCTTCGCTACATAGTAAACCGAAATAGCGATGTTGGACGCGTTGATGTAGTATGGGACACATATGTAGAACACAGCCTCAAAAGTGCAACCAGAGAAAAAAGAGGGAAGGGAATTTGAAGGCGAGTTCAAGCTCAAACAAATATCCCTAAGAACTGGCATGGCTTTCTATGGGTTGATGAGAATAAAAGGGAGCTGTTTCAGTTTCTATCGAAAAAGGTTGGCAGAAGCAGCAAATACTGAAAAGAAAGTTATCTGTACAGTTAGAGAGAATGTGATTTCAAACCAGGCACACATAGAGAAGTCAAAAATAAAACCGTGCAAACACGAAGAAACTGTTACGAAAGTTATGCTTCACGTTGCAGATGCATTTAGGGATGGTTTTAAAAAGATCAGCATTAAAACTGTGGATACAGACGTAACTGTGATCGCTATATCTGTATTTATGGACACAGAAGCTGATGAGATATGGATAACAGTTGCAACCGGGAAACATTTCCGTTACATTCCTATTCATGATATTGCACAATCTTTGGGTTTCCTCAAATATAGGCTTTTACCAATATTCCACGCCTTTACAGGTTACGACATTGTATCTTCATTTGCAGGACGAGGAAAGAAACAGCATGGGATACATGAAATACTTTCCCCGATATATCAGCTGCTTTTAGACAGATGGCAGAACAACCAAGGACAATATGCCGTGATTCAATTCTACCATTGCTGGAGCGATATGTTGTTCTTTTGTACCATCGGATAAGTGAATCAAACAGTGTAAATGAAGCTAGAAAAGTGCTCTTTGTACATAAAGGTAGATCAATCGAGTCTGTTCCACCAAAACGAGAGGCACTTTTCCAACATGCCAAACGGTCTGTGTACCAAGCTGGATTGATTTGGATACAGTGTTTGCTTTTACAGCCTGTTCTTCCATCCCCAGACTTGTATGATTGGAAAAAGCAAGACAACGGCATGTAAGAAGAACCCGTTCTGAACAATATTGGCAGATGCAACCCCTTCACTACAGGAGCTTGTTCGCTGTGGATGCAAGAAAGGTTGTCGAGGACAATGCAAGGGTTTCAAATCCGCCCTTCCGAATACACCTTTAGGAAAGTGTGGTGGAGATTGTGCCTGATGGACTGCAGCGAGTATAGGGTTTACCGACACAAACAAGATGAATGAACGTATTATTGCATATAACAGCTACTGTATATATATTACTTTCAATTGTACTTATCTGATATAATTTTTTGGTATATATTGCAACTTCCTTTTGACTTGTTTTAACTTTTTTGTTATTTCGGCCGCCATCTTGGAAAAAAACGGAAGTTGATAGTTTTTCATATTGGTTTCATATCTCTATTTGTTAAGAAGGGTCTAAAGAGATAATATACAAAGTTTCATTGTTTTACCACCTTGTGTACGGTTTCTTTGATATTTAGTTTAGAATTTTTGCAATTTTGTCCGCCATCTTGGAAAAAACCGGAAGTTGATTTTTTTCAAGTTGGCTCCATATCTTATTTTGCTTAGAATGGTGCTAGGAGCTTATATACCAAGTTTGATGCTTTTACCACATTTTGCAGAATTCTGATGAAAAATTGGACTTAGCTGCTTGACTATATCCACATTTTTACTCTTTAAACTAAATCCTGTACTTAGAAACTAAGTCATAATATATATACTCACATGAACCAGACTTTAAACAGAAGCTTCTTAAGAAGAATGAAAAGAAGGTAGCATCATCCTTTAACTTCACTTTCCGCTATATAGATGATATCCTCTTACTAAATAATTCAAAGTTTGGTTACTACGTTGAACGCATTTATTCCATCAAACTTGAAATACAGCATACAACAGATACAGTTAAGTCTATCGCATATCTTACCTCTTATCTTTAAACTACTATACTAGAAATTGACAATGAGGGTCGGATGAGGACAAAACTTTACGACAAAAAAGAAGATTTAAGCTTTTCCATTGTGAAATTTCCATTTCTATGAAGCAACATTCCAGAAGCGCCAGCATACAGAGTGTATATCTCTCATTTGATACGATAATCCAATCATAATTTCCTTGATAGAGGCACTAGTAACTCCAATTGATATTGATCGGCCAAATAGGTATTAACCCTATTTAGAAAAAAAAACGATTACTGAATATTAGATAAAATTGACAAAACTGTAAAACTTTTTTAATGTTATTCAAACCATTTTAAATAATTCGAATACTATTCAAAAAGATGCCCTTGCGGTCATTTAAGTCAATTTAAGATATGGTAAAGCTTCGTCAAACAAGTTAGCCACGCTCCAATTGAACAAAATCAAACTGGTATCAATGCCTTTTAAATTTTAAAGTATACCCGCCTCTTTGTGAGATAAATCACTGAAGTAGAAAACCAAACCCGATATATCTATCGTTCGTTCCGTACTTTGTCGATTTTAATTAATTTTCTTTCAAATCCCTGAGAAAGTTGTAATAAATGTCACTGGTGCAAAAAGTGCATTTACAGCGGGAAAAGGTGGAACCTATAAAGAGATGAAGCGTGGTAATACGATTATGTTTGGGGAATATCGTGTAAGTAAGTCCTCATTAAATCCTCACAAAAGGTATATCGCTGAATTCAGAAAAAAACTTCATTCCCCGTGACCTGATATAACCGTATATCTGGGACTAATTCATTTTAGCCTCAACAATAGAAAATGTGCCAAGCTCTATAGTGCCCACCTCTAGCGTCTAGACAAGTTGTGAATGCATTAAACATGGGGCAACAATTGCCCTCCTATTAACATGATTAATAACGCACGAGTTTCCTGATTAGGAACAGGGACGTATAAATGATTATATTTGTTAAGGGGGGGGGGGGGGGGGGGGGGTGAAGGGGGGTGAATATCTACACCCTGTTTTAAGTATGAGTAACAACATAATTAAAAGTGCGTAATAGAATGAGCAATAACAATAAGTAAAACTATAGCATAGAGTTATTTCAAAAATATTACACAGTCTATAAGAGAAAGTTTTAGTAAGTCTAAAAATAGCTCAGGACTTGAAAATGACCTACGGACATGTAAAGTGCCACTTATTTGTTGTAGAGATATGTGTACTCATTCTTGACTCAAAATAATGCATGGAGCGTATTATA